ACGGGGAGCACGGGAGCACGGGGAGCACGGGAGCACGGGGAGCACGGGGAGCACGGGAGCACGGGGAGCACGGGGAGCACGGTGAGCACAGTGGACACGGGGAGCACGGTGAGCACGGTGAGCACGGGGAGCACGGGAGCACGGGGAGCACGGGGAGCACGGGGAGCACGGGGAGCACGGGGAGCACGGTGAGCATGGGAGAACGGTGAGCACGGGGAGTACGGGGAGCACGGGGAGCACTCTTGGAATCCCAGAATCTGGAGGAGGGGTGAGGAAGGAGGATCTTGAACTGGAACTCGAGTTTCAGGCCACCCTGGGCTAAATAATGAGACCCTGTCTGAAACAGACAGACAGACTGACGGACGGACAGACAGACAGACAGACAGACAGCCTCTGGGAAGTGCAAACATTCTAGGTGTTGGGAATAGAAGATGAACAGGGGAGGAGCCAGGAGTAGAGCTCAGGGGAGTGTTTGCCTGGTGTGCAAAAGCCCAGGACTGCACCAAACCAGACCCAGCACTGCACCAAACCAGACCCAGTACCACACTAAACCGGGCCCTTGTGCATGCCTGTAGTTCTGGCACTGGGGAGGTGGAGAGAAGAGGACCAGACATTCAAGGTCCTCAGCCACGTAGTGAGCAGAAGCTAGACTGGAACTCTTTGTTTCCAAAACAGAAACGGTGCGGAAGAGGAAAAGGAAGAGAGAAGCGTGGCGTATTTGGTGGGTCACCTGGAGTGAATCGTGCATTGCGGCAGCAAACGCTGACCGACACTGTGCCACACGGAAGGACACCGTGGACTGCCTCCTTGGAGAACACTCTTCATCTCCCACGGAGGGCGTGAATCTCGGATGATCGTCTTTTGTCCATGTTACCTCATCATCCTTTTGTGGTCACAGCCAGTTGAGCATCTGATCCATGATTAACCGAATCAGATTTTTCTTTCCCAATATTTATTATCAGTTAGGCAGGCTTAGACCAAGCAGGCTGAGGGGCCATGTCATTGGTGATGAGAGAGGTGGAGCAGGAGAGTTGTCAGGAGGGTGGGCAAAGTTCCAGAGAGGCAGAGAAGGTGTCCTGGAAGCAGGGGTGGGGTGGGGGGAGCCAGCAAACCTGAGCCCCGGTTGAAAGTGTTGCCTTGGAAGACCCCTTCCTTCTTCATCCGAACTCCCCTCTCCTAAGGGAGACAGGGTGTGCTTCTTTCTTTGCACAACTGCGATCATGAGTGCAAAGCATTTAGATGTTGTCCCGGTGGAAATGAGTGAGGGGAGCTGCACGAGGCGGGGGGGGGGGGGCGCTCACAGCTCCTTGTGTGTTCCAGGAAAGTTTCTGACTGCAGAAAAGGGCCATGGGAGCAAATGAAGGACTCTGGCTTTGGCCGGGGCAACAGGGGATGAGACCAAAACTCGGGCGACAGCAAGGATAGTCTGAGAGAAACCCAGGATGCATCACTGTCAGGACTTGCTCTTCCGGGCTTCAGAGCAAAGGGAGCGAAGAATCTTTCTCAGCGTCTAGCTGGATGAATCACAAAACCGCGTACGGGAAAGAGAAAGGCAGAGGCCTCTTTGGAAAAAGGTGTTCTGCTTTGTCTTTGACATATGTTTGAGGAACGGCCTGTGGCAACATCCGTCAGGGTGGAGATGAGTTAGAGAACACTGACATGGGTAAGCAGTGTCCACCTGACCGGATTAAACTCCAGAAGACACTAGGCAGAAAGAGGGCGGCAGAGGGTGAGAGGAAAGAAACATCAGAACACCGGCATTGTTAGTGAGCGTGAGAAGAGAGACATCAGTCAGCCAAAGAGTCCGAGAGTGGGGGACAGGGTGGTAGGAGAGTCAGAGACCGAGGGAGGGGTGTGGCCATGCTTGCCAAATCTGCAGAAGAACGCCGAACATCTTTAATATTTGAGCTATTGTTTTGAAAGAGGAGACCGTCATCAAAATGGAGAGACCGGATAGGATGAGGTCACCCTGGGTGAGGAGTGACTGGCGACCTGGTGAGGGACAGGCTAATCCAGAGGCAGCTAGCTGCCCTCTCTGCAGGTGGGATCTGAAGGGAAGCCCTGCAGAGGCTGGAGGTCCAGGGAGGACAGAGCTGGAGGCAAGGCCGATTCTGAGCACTGCCTCCCAATCCACACTCTGCACTGTGACCTCGCAGATCCCCCATCAAGCAACAGAGCCCCTGCCCCTGGGGCGGCTTCGTAGCTTGCTTTTGTAAACGGAATGAGACAGAAGGTAGAAACGCCATGTCAGCTCAAGAGGCACGGAGTACCTCTGCTCCCTCTTGCTCAGTGCCTCTTCCTCTCCCCTTTTCACTCCCTATTTTCCTTCCTTGCTTCTCCCATCCCCACCTAGCTGCCATGTGAGCAAGTCTGAGGTAACACACTATACAACGGGCTTTGGTGGCCCCAGCCACCCATGTCACCACAGCTAATATTCTTGCTTGTGAGACCGTCCTTGACTGCCCAGTCCCATCACCAGCTGACTCTGTCTACAGCGTTTCAGGTTGGCCTGGAATCATGTGATCCTGCCTAGTCTCTACAGATCTGCATCATTCCATGCATTGTTTTGGGAACAGTCAATAAACGACCAGCTGCTCTCTCCCAACCCAGCCCCATGAGCACAAGGCACAGCACTGTGTAGCCCTTTTATCTGAACTAGAACAGCCCGATGAGTTCCCCCATGTGTGAATAATTAAAGCACTCACATTTTGGGGGTGCACTGTCCAGTAGCATACCGACTCAAGAAACTGTTGGGAGGTTTTCACTGTTTCATCAGCATGGGGAGAGCTGAGCATGTCTGCAGGGGTGCAGAAAGACGCTGTGCGATTCCAGGGAGAGCAAGCAACAGGAGGTGTGGCTGGTGGAAGTGACCCCTGTCACTGGGGCTTCCACCCGAAACTGTGAGTGCAGGGCTGGCTCCTCTAGCCACGTGTCCCTGGACACGCTCGTACTTTAACCTCCAACCACAAATTAACACCGCACCCGCACATCTCCACGTCTTTCAGAACTAAAGGGGTACCTCAGACAGATCTCCCTTTGTTTCCGCGGGTGTGTCAAATGCTGCTGACAGCAAAGGAACAATCTTCAGTTTGTATATAATGAGGTCTGAAATTCCCGTCTCCGCACATTGATCACGGATCTTATTTCACTAGATAAACTGACAGCAGTCTCGGGTACTTAAACAAAAATCTGAAAAAAACTCAGCTTAACCACCCACATCTACGTGCTCCCTCGCCTCTCCCTGTCACTTTTGTGGCTCAGTTATCTTGTCTGTGTGCAACTGTTTCCAGTTTTATCTGGATTCCTCAACAGCCAGCTCATTCTGCAATGATGTCCACTTCTTGATCGTCTAGTAGAAAGACATCTGGTTTGGAAGGCAAAAAACAAACCACCACCAACAACCAGGTCTAGACTTGCTTACTAGCATTTCATCTCAGCGTCCTCATCGGGATTATTCCTCCAAAACAGTATTTAGTACTTACCATGTGCTAGGTACTGTTCTAAGTGCTCCCTGAAAGGCCAGCTGTGGAGGCTGACGATGAAAACAAGTGTAGCAAGCGGTGCTCTAGTTAACACTGTCAACTTGACACAGCCTAGGGTTCCTTGGAAACGGAGTCTGAACTGCGTAACTGTGTAGCCAGTTTGTCCACGAGGGCCGTCCAGATTGACAATTGCTCTAAGAGGGTCCAGCTCACTCTGGGGTACCATTCTCTAGGCCGGTGGTCCTGGGCTGAAGAAGAAGAAGCTAGCTGAGTCAGCAGGCAGCATTCCTCCCTAGTTCCAGCCTCCACGTTCCTGCCTTGAGTTCCTGCCCTGACTTCCCTCAATGATGGACTGATCTGAAAGACAAAGAAGCCATTTTTCTCCCTAAAGTTGCTTTTGGCTAGAGTGTTTTATCATAGTGATGTAGAGGAAATTAGAATGGCAGGTTAATTATAACACGTGATTGAAGGTGCAAGCATTATGAAAAAATTAAAAACACAGTGGTGAGTTGTGGTGGTGTTGCACACCTGTAATCCCAGCCCTTACGAGGTAGAGGCAGGAGTATCAGGAGCCCATGGTCGCCGTTGGTGCCATTCTGAGTTCAAGGCAAAAAGAACCAAAAAGTGGTGGTAAGAACAGACCGAAGGTCCTGAGAGACTCTGAGGAGAAGGAGGAGGTGAAGAAGTGACAGTGAGGGTATCTGGGAGAGAACGTTCTAGATGATGTTCCAAGGGTGCTTCCTCTATCTATCTATCTATCTATCTATCTATCTATCTATCTATCTATCTATCTATCTATC